AATAATTGCTGTGGAACCAGAGTTCATCTGTCAGGAAGGCATCCATCCATCCTTAACTTGAAGAGTCTCTGTGATAAAGAATACATCATATTCATTTTGAAGCGTAGTGCTACTGGACCTCATAGCTGCCTACGATACAATATGACACACTGGCCTGCTTCTAAAGCTGTCAAAAGTACTTCCAAGCTGGGTTGTTACAGTCATTGAAATGATTCTTTGTAACAAATGATTCAGAGTCCACCTTGGGCACGGGACAAGCTCATGGAGGAGACAGGCCATGTACTTCCACAGGGCTCAGTGCTGGCCCCAACTCTGTTCAACTTATACACGAGTGATCTACCAACAATCACATCCCGCAAGTTCATCTAGACTGATGACATCTCTTGTGCCATTCAAACTCCATCTTTCCATATTCTGCACTAAAACCTGAACGAAGATGCGACAAAGCTGGCAGACTACTGCACCACATGATGGCTCACGCCGAGTCCTGTCAAGACTGTATCCAGTGTATTGTACCTCCACAAGGCCAGCACCAAAACAGATCTTAACATCTACGTGGGTAGCCAGAGACTAAAGCATGATCCATACCTAACATATTTGGAAGTGTCTTTGGACAGAACCCTGATCTTGCAGGAACATTTCAAGAAAACAGCAGCAAAGGTCAAATCCCAAAATAACATGCTAGCCACGCTTGCTGGATCAACCTGGGGATCTGTAGCCACAATGCTTTGGACTTCAGCTTTTGCCCTATCATATACAGTAGCAGAGTGCTCTGTACCTGTTTGGCAAAGGTCATCACACACACATCTTGTTGACACCCAGCTGAACACAACCATGTGTATCGTAACTGGAACGCTCCATTCAGCTCCCCTCCCCTGGCTTCCTGTCCTTGCAAATATCACTCCCCCGCACATCCATCCACTGATGATCACTCAAAAACTGGTCAAAACCATTTGTGCTATATCTCACCTACCACTTTACAATGATCAGTTTAATCCACCCAAAGCCCTCCTTCCCTCATGACACCCTTTATGGCGCAGCCTCCTGGATCAAAATCTGTCTGAAGATATCCTTTGGGCCAAGGAATGGGAAACATGGGAAGTCACAAATAAGTTTCTTGTGACAAACCTCACTCATCAACTTGCTGCCTTTGAATTAACATGGTAAGAGTGGTCTCTGCTAAACAGGTTCAGGACAGGCCAATGCCCCTGCACAGCTGACCTACACTACTGGGGCCTAAGTGCTAACACATTGTGCTCTTGTGGAGAGGTGAAAACAATGTTGCACGTTATTGAGGAGTGTCCCCTCTACAAACTAAGAGGTGGATTAATAACTTTGAACTCAGTTAACAATGAGGCTATCATTTGGCTCAATGGATTTGCATTCGCTAAATAATAATTTTGAAGTGAACGATCTAATTATTTAGTATAGAATCATTTATCTAATCAGCTAATAGATTATCCATATCCAGAATTGCAAACCGTAGAGCAGGGGCTTTCAACCTTTTTAATTACGTGTAGCCACGGTGGTTGGACGCGGAGCAAGGTGAGGAGTGGGGTAGCACTTGGCCGGATGCATGTGAGCTTCCCCCTGAACATGTCCAGCCAGCCATGCAGCACCTGTGAAGCCTGCAGAGGGGCACTGCTGCCCTCTTCCCCTTTCCCCACCAGCCCTTCTCCTGGGAGGCAGCAGCACGGGGTGGTGGGTGACAGCACTCTGTCCCCACCTGCCCATGCGTACCCTCTATGACCTTCCCAAGTACCCCCTGGTTGACAACCTCTGCCCTAGATGACAGGATCAAAATTAAAATAAATAAATAAACAAACTGAAGAAACAGTCTCAAAGCACCAAGAATATATTAAACAAATGCAAAAACAAAATAACACACATTGGAAGAAATACAGCTAGTGAAAAAACTGGCTCAGGTAGAAAACAGAACTGCCACCCCCACTCCCCACCCAAAAAACCCCACACAAATCTGGTAGCTATAATGTATAAAAAACAAAACTATAAATAAATCAGCAATATGAATTTGCCATTGAGAGACATATCATTCTGAGTTATATTAAGGTGTTGATTTTTTATTTTTTTAAATTAATAGGTGGAAATGGAGAATTCTTGTGCAATACTTTCCTCATCTTGAATAAATTACAGTGAACCTACATCAGATTTTATATTCTAACATCTGATTTTGAATTGACACCCTAAATATGAGCACGGTGATCTTTCAATACATAGAATTATTTTTTTAAACTAACAGGTCAGGACTTTACCCAGCGTAAAAGGACATAGTTTCAAGTATGTCAGGGTGAACTCTTACTCCCAATTTTGTTTTGGCTCTATTGATAGATTATTGTTTTGCTGTAATACTTGTAGTATAAATATGTTCATGATATAACAGTGTTACTTGTCTCCTTTTCCCAGAACAGCTTATATATAGGGAAAAGCAAGTTGATTGTGTTTGGAGGCAGAGCTGTGCAGATTGGCCCAAGTTCTCCATAAGGTGCAATAGGATGTCAAGAGCTAATTGAACTATGCTGACACAGCAAATTCACTCCAGGCAAATAGTGGGAAATACTCTCTGTAGTTTCTGACACGGCACAGGCCTTGAGAGAAAGCCAGGACATAAATATGCCTGAGGGGGAGGAGAAATATCCAGGCTCTTTTCTTTAGTTTTGTTTTTTTGACAGAGATGTCCTGGACTTCAGGCCACATGGATTCTGCCTACTGATTCTATATAATGAAAATTTATAAATTTGTTATCATTTTCCAGGTATAGATTCTAATTAATGGAACTTTACACTGAATTCGTCTCCCTCCCACTGCTAAAGCAGGGAAAATAAATCTGGTGGTGGATAGGGTGACCCCCTAGCCCTTCTCTACCTGTCCCCCCCCCGCAACTTCCTTTATCCTGGGATTTGGTACTTGTCCCAAGCCAACATCCCAACCCACCCCAAGTGAGTATGATACCAGCCTACATAGATGGCACCATGTTATCAGCTCCAAGGACCTCTGAGACTTGATGCAGGCCTATGGGCCATAGGCCACACAAATGCCTCTCTCCAAGTTTTGCCCCCCCTACAAACAGCAGAATTTTTTTGTGGGGAGGGGAGTCCATGGCTTCCCTCCTCAGCCTCCTACATTCCTAGGGGGCATGGTGGGAAAGGGCAGTTTAGCATCAAGCATGGAAAGATAAAAGACTGTGGGAAGTCATGCTTCCCCAGGGTCCCTGATGTTGCCACAGTTATCTACTTGCAGGTCTGCTGTGGGAGCAATGCCACCAGGTGGTACAATGCATAGTTAACTTATGGAATTCATTGCTTCAGGAGGTGGTGGAGATCAATAGCATGGTTTTTATTCTACAGAGCTGCATAGAATACATCAGTTTTGACAAACAACCTATTTTGGGGGGGGGGGGATCCAAAAATCCTCTCAATTCTTTCAATGATGATGGACATATTGAAACCAGTACTCTGTGACCTGAAATTGCTGCCTATTGGTTTCTGAAAAGATATCAATATGCATGCTTTGACCAACAAAACCTTGCAGTTTATTGTTTAACAAATGACTGCCTCCCCATGACTTATTCCCAAAGCTGGAATCACCAGATATGTTTTGCTAACATAGCAATGAAGCAACATCTGGGGAGGGCAGGGGTCTACATTTATACTACTGTGCAGTTCCTACTCTCGAGAAAAGTTGCTGCTTGCATTTTCAGGTCACAAATGTTCTCACTATTAGAGAATTACAATACAGTAAGCATCTGCACATGTAGATGTGGATGCTTTCTGTGGAGTAATTAGCTCCACTGCGCAGTAAAACGTCTCATGCAGATGTGCCCACTGTCAGGCTAAAAAGTGGGTGGGTCTTCCTTCTCCGGTATCGAAGAGTTGCTAGTCTTGTTTTTTCTATGATTGAGTTTTGAGGGACTCACACAGTTCTATATTTATATGGATGCTCATGTTCTACCTCGAAGCCTACGTGGCCAGAGATGAGTGTGAATATGTGCAGAAGAGAAACATAGCTCTGCAGGTGAAAATAGAACATATATTCTACAGAAGAGCCGAAAACTGCACTTACAGTTCTATATTAATGCCACTTATGCATATAAAGATGAAACAGAATGTAGTGCTTGAACATTTCTGTTTAGGAAACCTTTTATTTATTCATTTTAATGTAGAAAAACAAAATGAAACCTAAAAAGCTACCGTGATATAAGATTCTTGTCCTCCAGATGGATCTGGTGTTTCTACTGGAAACCCTGAACTTGCTGGAATTGGAATTCTTCTCTTCTTGTTGTCATTTTATAATGACTTAAGTTTGTCAACTGTTATGGCATAGTACACTATTCACCCTTGTACCCCTATACACCTTTTTATCCCTGGTGCATTGGTTTGAACAGGAAAGTAGTACTGTGGGATATTCTGGAGGGAGCACATGAGGTTACTCTATTAATGTTTTGTTTCAGCTGTCCCTAAATGGATGGATCTTCGGAAACTGCTGACTGCTTATATTTAAGTAAATAACTTGTTATAACTGCTTATATTTGTAGGGATAAGAATACTTCACAAACATTTTCTAAAGTTCAATTGCATTTTAAGTACAGTGCAGGAATCACTGTATGAACATTTATAGCTTCTGCTGTGAAGAGTATCTATGAAATTGATGCAGAGGTATATTTTTATGATATTTTTGCATCAATAATGATATAAATCATTCAAATGACTGCTAAAATTAAAAAAAAAGACATGAAAAATAATAAAATAAAGTCAAATATTTTCTTGAAACACCTTTGCCTTCCTCAGTCATTAAAAGTCTAAAAGGAAATAATATCTAGACTATCAAATGATTTTCCCTTATTTTCTTTCACCTCATAATGTAAATATCTTATGATGCAGAGCAATAAACCAGGGGTTTTTGACAATCCCACAGGAACACAAGATAATACTGATTTCTCTCTCTGCAGGTACAAGTCCAGCTTTGAGGAGAACCTGGCCTAAATGATGAGAAAGAATGAGACAGATGTATTCAGATTCATTCTCCTAGGTTTTTCTGACCACCCCCAGGCACAACTTCTGTTCTTTACCTTCTTTCTATCAACATATACAATGACACTCACTGGCAACTGTCTCATTATTTTCATTACATTGGGAGACATTGCCCTCCAAACACCCATGCATTTCTTCCTCAGGGCCCTGTCCTTTTTGGAGATCTGCTACACCTCGGTCACAGTCCCCAAGATGCTGGCCAACCTCCTCTCAGGGGACAAAAGCATCACCTTCCTTGGCTGTGCCACACAGATGTATTTCTTTGTGGCACTAGGGGGTGTGGAGTGCTTTCTTTTGGCAGCTATGGCTTATGACCGATATGTGGCCATTTGCCACCCTTTACGTTATCCCTACATTATGAACAATGCTAGGTGCACAGGGCTAACAGCTGGCTCTTGGCTCAGTGGTTTAGTGGGATCTCTGGGCCATATTGTAATTATATTCAACCTACCTTTCTGTGGCTCCCATGAGATCAATCACTTCTTCTGTGACATAACCCCACTGCTGAAGCTGGCCTGTGGGGTCACTTTCCTGAATAAAGTGCTAATCTATTCTATTCTTTTGCTCTTCATAACCCTGCCTTTCATCCTGATCATGGTCTCCTACCTTCTTATCATTGTTACCATCCTGAAGATACCATCCACCCAGGGCAGGCACAAGGCTTTCTCAGCCTGCTCCTCACATGTCATTGTGGTGACTCTCTTCTATGGGACAGGCATTATAGCTTATCTATTCCCTAGTTCCACATCTTCTTCAGGGGCAGGTAAAATACTCTCTTTGTCCTACTCTGTCATCACACCCATGCTAAACCCCATTACATACAGCCTGAGGAACAAGGAGGTCAGAGATGCTCTGAAGAGAATAATCACGAGGAAGTGTTTTATTCATTGAAGCTCCCCCCCCCCCCCCCCAAATTTTCCAAGGGGTCCCCCCCCCCCCCCGCAAAAAAAACAAAAAAAAAAAAAACCCCAACAACATCAACAGAAACCAAAAAAACAACAAGCCTGTACTATCAGTGTAATGCTGGGAAACAAAACAAAACAACCCCCACCCCTGAAAAGCAGTGCATTGCATGGCCAACGATGTATACTAGGATTCAGAGAATGGGAACTGAACTCTGGGAACAGTTCAAAACCCACACAGACAATGAATAATAGCAGGGTAAAGATGATAAGCCATTACAAACATAATTATGAAGTCAGAGTAATACATTGGGAGCTGTAATGAATACAAATGCTTTCAGTGAGAGTACTAGGAGGAAGAAGGTATCTAGTTTTGTAAAATAACTTGATAAATTTATGATGGGATTATATGAAGTGATTTCCCCTCATCACAGGGGATTTGCATCATTAAGCAAGGACTTTCCCCCTGGATTTATATCCAGTCTTTTAACAGGAAGACTCCAAACTAGAGATCATTGAAGTAATGGACATTAATACCTAGCTGTTGAATGGTTTATGTGCATATTTAAATAAATCTAGATGTACATATGTAGGCTTTTACTAGTTGTTTCTAAAATTTGCTAATATTTAAAAAATGGAATTGGGACAGAAAAAAATAATATTTACAAGGGTTTTAAGAAAAGAATATTTAATTTTGATAATGTTTCACAAGAAATATGTAATAGAATCATTTCTGAAGAAAAAAAAATATATTTCTTTTCTAGAAACAAAATCTATCATTGTTTGCTCAGAACAAAAATGTTTTACCGTTTTATTTAATTTATGTTTTAAATGTTATTCTATGTAATCTAGATATCTATCTATGGAAACCTGCTCCCTCTGCCTACGTGACTGGCATCACATACCTGGGTGAGGGGCTTGGGCTCCCTGGTGAGCTACAGACTGCCAGTCTGCCCAGCAAACTAGTGATGCTTTTCAAATTGGTTGGCTGACAGACAACAGGTGCTGGCCTCCATTGGACCAGGTAAATGAGGTCCTAAGGGCTATATAAATTAAGGACTGCCCAGGAGGAGGGGGTAGCATCCATGAGGAAAAATCAGAGAGAGAGAAGAGCTGGACCATCTGAAACTTGCTCTCTCTCTCAAAACTCATGACCAAGGAACCGCCTGCCTCCAGAGGGAATCTCCACCTGCCTCTGGATGATACTTGTGAGTAAGCTACCTGAGATCTAACTAGATATATAGCTTGCAGTAACTCAGATGCATGACCAAAGGCTACTCCAGCCACCCTGTTTGCTCTATGGGATTTCTCTGATACTACTCAACTCTGTACCCTAGTCCAACCCTCCCCCTTGTAACCAGTAAAGTTTTCCTTTGTACCTAGTGTAGGAGACTTATTGGGGGTGGGTGTAGATTATGCCTTGGGCTCTCCTTGGTTCAGCTGACTAAGGGAGACCACTACTTCTGCATCCCAAGTTCTTGAAGTGAGTCAACTACTCTCGAGGGCTACTAGTCCTGTGTTTCCCAGGGGGCACAGTGCCAGAATCAAGCCCATCCCTGAGTGGTGGCAGTTCTAACCCCAGGCTAGCGGGTGCGCTGCAGGGAGGGGGTCGGCCAGATGTGAGACACCCCCAGGAAGGAACTCGAAGCCTGGAAGGTGGTCGGATGCAGTGAGGCGGGTGGCTCAATGCAGAAGCACCCCCTACTGGCCTACCACATGATGCTTTACTGTTTTATTTAATATATGTTTTAAATGTTATTCTATGTAATCTAGATATATATCTATGGTGTCTATGTAAAACTAGAAAATTGCAAGTAAAATATAATTTTTATGGAAATATTTAGTTTTGTTGAAAATATAAACATGCTTGATAAAAAAAGAATCTATGAACATTATTTCTAGATTCTTTTGAGTTTAATTCAGTCAAATTAGGTTGAATATTCTTGTTCCTCCTTGATAATTCCATTCTTAGACTTATAGATCTATAAAAAACCATGATCAGTACTGTGTCTTCTCCTCCTCCACACTGATTTTTGCATCAGTCTTAAGAGTAAGTGTTCATTAAAGGGGAAAAGGGATTTATACACAAGCTTTAGAGGAAAAATTGGTAGTTAATTATTATATCAACCCAATTAACTATTAACAGTTTGTCCATATCAACACTATCAGGGTTCTCTCCAGTTCCACATAAGATGAATCAGTGAGACTAATATAGCTGCTAGCCCTGACATCTTACCTGTTCTCTTGGGATTGCACAGCTAACCCCTTAGGACAGGGACAGACATTCATAAAGCCCAAGTCTAAATTTATTCTATCCTTGCAGGTTAGTCTAGCCTTCATAGAGTAAACGAGTTTGCCAGTGGATAGAAATTCCCTTTTCATTCTAGAAATGCAGACAAATGCCTGCAGTGGCTCAGGATAGAAGTCCGGGGGCACTAAAGCAGCCCTCCCATTCCCCAGCGAATGAAACAGTGGGGCATGGCCAGGCCTGGGCACACCTAAGTAAGACTGAGGAGTGGTTTAAACCCTAAACTTGAGCTGCAGGGTTCAGAGAGTGGGGGAAGAGGGAGGATGCCCAGGCTGTTGTGGCAGAGGAGGAGGAGGAGGGTAGAGCTCTGCCTGCCCCAGCAGCTCCGGAGCAATCCTGGCACACAGCACTGCCCAGCTCCTCTTCCCCTTTTTCCCTCTCCCCCACCACCACAGGGCAGAGAGGGGGGCTCTGTTTGGTGCTGGTTGAGCTCTATCTCCTCTTCCCTGCCCCCCACCACTGTGGGGTTGGTAGGGGGGCTCTGCAGGGCTGCCCCACCCTGGAGGGGGACTTTTCAGCCTGCTCCTCCTGCCCTGCCACCAACTGGGGAAGGGGGCTCTATGCAAGGCTGCCACAGCTTGTGGGGGAGGTTCTGTTCAGTGCTGAGGGAGGACTCTTCCCCCTCCTCCTTCCCCCCCACCCCTTGACTGCCACGGGGTGGGGAGGGGGGACTCTATGCGGCACTGCTCAGCCCAGGCAGGGGCACAGTGTGTGGCTGTAACAGAACCACAGCTCTTGGGGGGGGGCCCCCCCCCTGCAGCCAAGGCCAGCCTTACTCAGCCCTGGCTGAGGCAGCTGCATGGTGGCGCCTGGCTGCGGAGGCAGGGCCACCCCCAGCAGGTGCAGCTCAGTGGCAGGGATGCTTAGCAAGCACATCCCGGGCAAGCCTGGTGTGTGTGGCCAGCAGCTGGCCAGCAAGAGGGCTCCATGGGCTTCCTTGGAGGTGCCAGACCCTGATAGCCACCCACCACAGGGGCTGGATATGGACCCATCAGTCCCCATGGCTTGGAGGTGCTGGCTAGCCCTCTCCCCAGCCAGCTGGCAGCCACATACACCAGGCCAGGCTGTGCTGCTGATAGGGTTCAGCATCCCTCTCACTGAGCTGCAGCTGGGGGAGCTGGG